AAAAGTCTTGTGTTCAGTATGGGTCATGTACTGTTTGTGATATCCTACTGATAAATCAACTGATAACACAGTATCTCACATGCAAAAGGCTCCAACATATATCCTACCATAGCTCCCCCTTGCATCTACTTTAAAAAGTAAGCCAGCTAAACTCTAGAACAGTGTTGTCCAAACTTGGGCACTTTAAGATGAGTGGACTTCAACTTCCAGAATTCTGGGAGTTGAAGTCCCCTCATCTTAAAGTGCCCAAGTTTGGACAACACTGTTCTAGAGTTTAGCTGGCTTACTTTTTAAAGTAGATGCAAGGGGGAGCTATGGTAGGATATATGTTGGAGCCTTTTGCATGTGAGATACTGTGTTATCAGTTGATTTATCAGTAGGATATCACAAACAGTACATGACCCATACTGAACACAAGACTTTTTCCTATTTGCAGGAGAGTTAAGAGTTGGTGGAAAGGTGACATGTTCTTGGTGATCAACAGCTTTGTGTCTGCAAGCTCCAGTTGCTGCTATATTTCCTTGGTTTAATTTTCTATCTACAAGTGTGTTTAGGTTCATATCATTGTTCCTCATACCTTTAAGCCTGTCTGCCCCGCAGAGTCTCAATTATAACATGAGAGGCTCTTAAATCCATTAAATAAACAAACAAACAAAACATTTGAGGGTTTTTTTTTTCTTTTAAGAGAAACCAATCCTTTCTTGCCCCCCAATCTCCAGGGAACATACCATACTTCCCACTTGACAGCTAACCTGTTTTCTAGTCAGTTTCACAATTTAATCTGGTCAATTTTGCAGTCCCCGCCAGTCTGTTTCCCAGTTCCTCTGACAATTGCCTAATTTGATTTTCTTTGCTTCTGGAAATAGCATGCACATTCCCCTAGTGGTGTCCTACTGTAGTGGAGAAAATAAATCTTAACAAACAAAATGGAGACCACACCCTTCCCCACCCCCACTTTCCATCTTTGCTTAATCCCATCAGACCCAGATTGACCCTCCCTGCCCCAGACAAAGCCCTCTGCAATCCCTTCAAACCCAAGAATAGAAACCTCCTCAGTAGCTCACGGTACAGCCCAAGGGCAGCCCTTACAAGAGAATTGCAACCTAGAGAAACCCCAACTGTTCCATCTTATCAGCTGGTGACCTCAACATTCTGTTGCCTTAGCAGTGAAGTTCCTCACTTCTACTGCCCACTTGAAAGGCCCATTTTGTCTAACAATAGAACTAACCCCAGGTACACTGACAAGGACCTGCCTAGCTTCCCCAAACTGGCCAGCAAATCAGATCCCTAGGATTTCCCACCTTGTACCCCTCAACTTCTATAAAAATCTTTGCTTTTCCATTGTTCATGGTCCCTCTTTTTTTATAAAGCAGGCACCCAGCAATTGTTGGAATAAAGCGTGGTTCTTCTCCTCAGTGCTATGATCCTTCTTCAGACTGAATCCACAACACCACAAGTAGAATTGATCATGTTGCAGGTGTAAATCAGTAATGAATGATAGGCATAATTGCTTGAAAACCCCCCCCCCATAAGAATCTCAGGGGCAAAAGTTTGATTTTTGAAGATAAATAGAATCAGGATCAGTTGGAATATGTATTATGTGTCTCATGAGTACAATAGTTAACACAATCTTGGGATATAATGCTGGTATATATTTGCATTTTTATTGGTGAATTTGCAGTAGAAGTATAAAAGGAATTTTAACAGATTTTTGTTGTCCTCTTTCATTTATTTGTAGTGTTATTATTTTGTATTGCAACATTATTTTACTTTTTTTTACTTTACTAGCTATATTTGCTTCCCACAAAGAAACCTAGGAACTGTAGTTTAGTAAAAATATGCCAGCTTAATTATATCCTATAAATGTGCCTGTGGCCCAGCCATCATTCAGCTAAGCTACTTATGGAAAGAGTGGGATGAGATTATGTAGTATAAGAAAAGGATTGAGGTAAGAGTAAGAATCATGATATATGAATGTTTCCAACTTCCTCTTTGACTATTCAGATCAGTGATGGAAAGGGACATGCAAAGCTTACCAGACAAATGCTGCAGAGCAGTTTCCCCAACCTTCACAATATTGTGGGGAACTCCATCTATGTATCTGTGTCAGTACTAACAGGTAAGAGAGTGTCCTGCTTCTTCTGTGCCCAAAAGCAGAATTCTTATGTGGTTACCATTGCTCAGACATGGCATCAAGGAAGACTAATAGCCCAGCAGCTGCAAATGTAATGTATGGCAGTAAGGAGATGTAAAAGAATGCCAAAAAAACCCTCTACTAGGCAACATGTGTCCTATGCAGTATTTTGGATTTCTAGCATAGTTTTCTTGAAGCCACTCATATTACATACTCCTGTCTTCAACAACTCTGGCAAATTAATAGTTAATGTTTAAGGCTTTCCTGAAGAAGACATCAGGGAGGGTCTTTAGTAGGGCCTGTCACCATACCTAGAATTGTTTCTCATCCTATATCATATCTCTTCTTCCTTCAGGACAGCGCTACAGACCATCATATGTTAAAACATCTAGATATCGGAATAGTTTTTTCCCTTGTGC